GGTATCACAATCCCCAATTTGAAACTATACTACAAAGCCATTGTGATAAAAACAGCATGGTACTGGCAAAGAAAAAGACCCGAGGATCAGTGGAATAGATTGGAAGATACAGAAACAACTCCAGATGTACTCAGCTACCTCATCTTTGACAAAGGAGCCTTTTTAATAAACTGTGTTGGAAAAAGTGGTTTTCAACCTGCCAAAGATTAAAACTAGACCCTTACCTTTCACCATGCACTAAACTCAAATCCAGGTAGATTAAATATCTAAATATTAAAACAGAAACACTAAACTTGCTGGAAGATAAGTTAGGCAGAACACTCAAAGACACTAGCAAAGGAAATGACTTTATGAACAAATCCTCAGTAGCATGGGAACTAGCACAAAGAATCAACAACTGTGCTCTCATCTTATTAAAAAGCTTCTGCACTGCAAGAGAAACCACCAACAGAGCTAAGAGACAATCTACAATGTGGGAAAAAAATTTTACCAGCTGCTCCTCAGACAAAGGACTATTATCTAGAATTTATAAAGAACTCCAAAAAAATCAGGGCCCCCAAATATAAAGACCCAATTCTAAAGTGGGCATCTGAAATGAACAGACATTTCTCAGGCAAAGAATTAAAAGCAGCAAATAAATATATGAAAATATGTTCCACATCACTGTCATTTGAGAGATGCAGATGAAAACAACACTGAGATTCTACCTCACTCCAGAAAGAATGGCTGCTATCAAGAAATCAACCAATAACAAAGGTTGGTGGGGTTGTGGGGAGAAAGGAACCCTTCTCCATTGTTGGTGGGAGTACAGACTGAACCACTGTGGAAATCAATAAGGAGATACCTCAGAGAACTAGGATTAGAGAGGTTCCACTTGACCCAGCCATCCCTCTGCGGGGTATCTTTCCAAAAGAATTAAAAGAATCACACCACAGTGATATATGTGAACCCATGTTTATAGTGGCACAGTTTGTAATAGCTAAAACTTGGAAACAGCCCAATTGCTCATCAATTGGAGACTGGATAAAGAAGATGTGGTTTTTCTATAAAATGGAGTACTACTCAGCCATAAAGAATGAGAAACTAGAGTCACTAATAAAAAAAATGGATGCATATTGAGGCCATAGTCTTAAGTGAAACTAATAGGACACGCGTAAATACCGAATAGTTTTTCTGGTGTGAAAAGCTGAAAGTGTAAATAAGAGCCAATTGTATAACTGATAATGTGAAATAGGAAGAAAAGGGCTAATGGCGTAGGGGAAGTGGGAAGGGTAAGGGAAAAGAAAAAATGTGAGAAAAGGAAAAAAATGGAAACAAAGTCTTTGTAAACAGGGGAGGGTGAAGCGGGTGAAGGGAGGGCAGGGGTATGGGGAAAAATGAGAACCAAGATCTGTCATGTAAAAGGACATGATCCCAAATGATGAATGCAACTGTACTGTATACCTAAAATGTGCCAATAAACTCAATGAAAAAAACGTGATGGCACATTACTCACATAGTGACATAATAACATACTTATGTAATAGCATTTACACTGTCTGGTTCTATCAAATGCCCTGCTGAGACAATTTAAATGAATTGACTTCTTTTTTCTCATCCGTTCCTTCATTAAAAAAATCAATTAATTTTATTGGTACAATTTAAATATATATATATATATATATATATAAAACAGGGGCTGGGGATTTAGCTCAGTGGTTCTACTGCTTGCCTTACAAGTACAAAGTCCCGAGTTTAATTGCTGGTACAAAAATAAATAAATCTACACACACACACACACGCACACATCACACTCATCAAAGGGGCTTTGTACTTATACATGGTATTGCTTGATTCTTTTTTGTCATTTTCCCTCCTTCCTTTAACCTCCCTTTTCCCCTTATTTACAAAAGCTCCATTTCCATTTTTTCCTTTTTTAATCAACGCCCCAATCCCTCACAGTTTCCCTTTCCTTTTGAACAGTTTCTTCCTAATTCTTATTTATTATCTATTCTACATTTTGGTTCTCATTTACCCTTTCAGTTTATGTGCATTCTAGGTTCACTCTTTTATTATCTCAAATGAGTATAAAATATACACTCAGGCTTCACTCTCTGAACCTCTCAAAGAAATAGTTCCAATAAATTATATTCTCTTTGGTCCACATTAGAAACTCAGAGATGAACAGTATTCTGCATCTCTGTTTCACAGCCAGTGACAGTCCTGACCGCCCTAAGTTACTGAATGGTCCTTAGGTAGCAGAATTCTGTTTTGGGGTTAGCAGCAGTACAAACATCAGGAAGTTAATCTTTCTGGGCCTCAGTTTATACCCATAAAGGAGGTTTTCTGGTGAAGATTCACAGCCAATATGTAAGTTACTTGGTCCTGTGACTAAAATGCAGCTTTTCAGATTGAAATTTATAAAGATAAATAATAATACTTTATTTCATTATAAACTTCACACTTAAAACCTTAGAAAATTAAGTTCAGGAATAACTTAGGAAATTACTACAATGCAATCAGAACTTCAAAGCTGTAATATATTTTGGTTAAATGCTCAGTAGCTAAAAAGTACAGAAAAAAATTCAACAACTTACCTTTCCATTTCTTGTAGAATGGTTTTGATGTCTTTTCCTATTTTAAACTTTTTCCCAAATGGAATGTCAGAAATAATAATATCTACACTTTCTGAAGGCAGTGGCAATTCTGAAATAGAGAAATCAGAGAATCCTATTAAAGTCAAATATTTACAACCTAAATAAGGAGAAAATTGAGGTACATGGGATTATCTTTGCCTATTAAATAAAATTTAGAGTTGCTCATATTATTTCTATGAAATTATAAGATCTGAAATGCTTTCAGAATCACTAGAGATAAATGGTCTAATCATTACATTCTGTCCTTTGAAAATGGATTTTCAGGTATAATAAAATATGACATAAGTTAACAAAATTTTAAATTAACCAGAAAATTCAGTTCTCTAAACATATTATATACATAGAATTGTCAGATCCAGGAAGAAATACAGTCTAGAAAAATTTTACAAAATTATATGCTGAAATTTTGATGTAATGATATATGAAATTCTGCATGTTAGATCTCTTTGCTTTTAAAGGAGAAGATCCAAAGCTACCCTTGTATATTTAAAGGGAACAGAAAAGATGAAGAATGTCTATGTAAGACCTTATTATACAGTTAAAAAATCAACACAATGTATAGCATCACTAAACAAAATTAAATATATATGATTATTAAATGTGAATTTTCTCCTCAGAAATTACCATAGGGTAAAACACTCACATTTTCTGAGTGTGCTTTCCACTTCCTACCGCTTTTACTTCCCACCCATCATCTAAATTAAGTTAGAAGGACAATGTCTCAGTTTTCTTGAGACAGGATCTCACTGTTTACCCCAGGCTGGCTTCAAACTTGGAATTGTCCTGCCTCTGCCTCTTGAGTGCTGGGATTATAGGCACGAGCCCCCATGCCTTGTTCAATTTTCATTTTGAATAGTATCTAATTCTGTAAAATGTAACAAAATTTGAATAATCTTTATAAACTACCATATAAAATTTGTGGGCAGGAAACTTAAAAACAATAAAAATATCCCGGGAAAGTCTAACGACCACTTGCTACCTCTTTTGTAGTTTTAATCCTTATGTGAGATTAGCCGAAGAGTGCACTGTTAGAAAAAAGTAACAGGGTAATATTCTTTTAAAGCTAGGCAGGAATTCTTTTCTATTGACTACCACTTTTTGGTTTACTTTACAGTGCTGCGGATTGAACTCAGGGCCTCATGCATGCAGGCAAGTGCTCTACCACTGAGCGACAGCCCATCCAACTTACGTTCCGACTCCATGCACTTGGCTTTACGATGCTAAAGTAGGACACATCCTTTAAGCACAGTTTCTACACTGCTTGCAAAGCGACCAAGGACAATAAATAGGCAATGAAGGAATCAAGTGTTTTTCATGAGAGGAACCACATCATAGCTTCCCCTTGTCTAATCCCAAATCTTTCTTTTGCTGGATACCACTCTCACTAAAGCCCTACTCATGAAGTAGGTGCCCAATTTATCCAGATGTGGATTTTCTCCTTCTGTTATCTATTTTCACCCGCAATATTGTGCTACAATTTTCAATCCTGCTTTATAATTTTAGAAGTTGCAATAAAATTCACACTGGTAGAAAAGACTTTATTTTTTAGTAAAAAGTTCCAAATGAAGCATTGTCATTTTCCAAGTGAGTATAAAATAAAGTTCTGGTGATGCGGTGTGGGGCACACAGGCTGCAGTGTGACAGCCGTGCGTGGCCTGGTCACTGCTACCTGTGCAAGGGAACGCGCGCACCCACTTCAGAGGGTAACAGATGAAACCACACGCGTGAAGCATGTGGAACAGGGCCTGCCCGGCACACGGTGAGCACTGACTGTTGTCAGCTCCTTGGTGGTTATGATTTACAACTTTGTTTATGACAAAGTCCGGAGAGATGATAGATGGAAACCCAGTGGGCCAGAACCCTTGAAGGAGCTCTGCAGAATCCAGCATTTTCTTTCCATTCCTGCGAGGTCCTTGAAGGCCTAGGCAGGACAAGCGCTTGCAGGTGTGCTTGTGCTTTTTCAGTCCCCTTTCCTGCAGCCGTGGTTCCCAAGGTTGTGGGCCCCAGGCCGGCACTTGGTAGAAGTATCACCACGAGCTAGTACGTAGGAGAAGCAATCAGAAGCTTCTGCAAAACACTGATTTCTCGCCTCACTTCCAGTTTCTGATGCAGAAGCACCAAAGATTGTGAGCCCTTGACCCATCAGAATCAACACATAGTAAAACCTTTCAAATTATTAATTGCTCTGAATTGCCTGCAAATGGTTTGCTTGTAACTAAGGAGACAAGATTCTGAAATAGAAGCAGATCAAAACAAACAAGTAAAAACCATTCATTTTTTACATTTTTGTAGTCCTTTAAAATTTTATTTTTAAATTAAAAAAAATCTCATTTTAAAATACTGGTTGTTTTGAGCAAAATAACTACCCTATTTTTTCTGCCTTCCAGTAGAAAAATGTTTAAAATTCAGATTTATAGCCCCAGGATTTCTTCCCATACGTTTGAAGGGCTTTGAAGATATTCTGTTGTGCACATATTTAAAACCACACTAAGTTGAAGACTTCCTAATTTTCTTTTTGGCACAGGGTCTTTCTACGTAATCCAGGCCAGCCTTGAACCTAGTGGGTAGCTAGGCTTGTGATCCTTCTGCCTCAATTTACCGAGTGCATATTCCCCATGCCTCGCTTTAACTGAGGGGTGAGGACTTACAGAATTGGGCATACCTGGCTTCCTATTTTCTTTCCTTGCACTGTCTGTTATTTTTTCCAGTGTCCTGGTTTCTAATACTCACATCCTGTCATGTAACAGTAATTCTGATAGTTGTTTAAAATTAATTGTACATTTAATTCAATCCTCTTTACCAATCATTTTGCCTTGACTTTCCTTGTTTTTCAGCTGGCTCGTCTCTTAAATGTCTGGATTTAATGAAAAATTCCACTCCTCTCAACGGGCTTATAGTAAACTGTTATATGAATTTTTTCATATTTGAAAAATTTTGTACAAAAATGACATTTTTGGTTGGGCACAATATTTCTGTGTAACACACAGCTTCATTAACTCTGTAAATACAATGTCCAACCTTGTTAAGTAAGCCCTGTTCTATCTATAACTCCCTTTCCATTGTGGACGAAATAAAATTTGAAAATTATTTCATTAATTATCTTTCCCTTAGTTGCTGCTGGTAGATTTTTTCCCCCTTTTTTCTCATTTAAACAAGTGCAGAAGCGGGCAAATCTTTCATTGAAATTTTCATCTGCCATTTTAACCCAGAAGTCTGTAATCGTCTCAAACGTACACAAGGCAGTTTGCCATCTGGATTGGGTCGCCGTATAATTTATAGTCCAATCAAGAACACTGCTGAGAATGAGAACGCTAGAAATCAAATTATATAGTTTGAAATACTTATCCTATAAACTGGCTTACAATGGAGGACTTAAAAATTGTATCTTTTTTTTCTCCTACCTTTTTCATTTTTTCTGAGCATTTTATTACAAGGCATCAGTGGTGCTTTTTCAACATCTTGTTCCGCAGCTTTTCTTGGCCAGAGAACCAGGCACTGCTATAATCCATGAGAAGCCTAGCAAACATCCTAAGTTCTCCTTCTTCTCCTTGGTGATGATTCTGGCTTTCCCGTCCTAGGACCGTGTCTGGGTGTACCTGGTCAGGGCAGCCAGGCAGCCAATTTGAGTCCTCAGCAGACCTGGCTCCCTTCTTGGGGGCAGAGGATGCTCAGATTCATAGTCTTTCTTTCCAAGCTGCACACAGGTTTGCTCCGCCTGCTACCCCACAGACATGTCCATGGGCTCGGCCCCTTCCTGTGGGTGCCAGCCAGCCTCCCGTCAGCTCTCCCAAGCTGAAGTGCCGGACACCTCACTATGAGGCACCTCGTGTGGGGTCTGGGTGCAGGGTAAGGGGGATGTGTCATGGTTTTGTTCGGCAGGCTGTGGATCTGCAGGCCCCGGTGGAGTCCTGGAGGAAGTGGGAACTTGGGATCACACATCGCAGGTGGGTGGTGTAGGAGAAGAGCTGTGGGTACTATTTTTTCAAACCAGTATTCAATATTCAATATTTCAACATTAAAAGTAACAAACAAAATAATTATTTATGGTATGGATTTATATATTGACCAGCTTCTTAGATATTTTAGTCTCTACTCCCATGGCATTATGGGTATTTTTATGAAGAACAGAATATTTTTAAAAGACTTTACAAACTTTTAATAAAATCAATCTTCAAAGTTTCATTTCCATGTTTAAAAAAGTTTTTTTTTTTTTTTTAATACTTTCCCTTCAGGTGTGAGAATAATACACAATACAGCAAATTCTGCTAAAAGACACTCTTAATTCTTAATTGTTTCTTTCACTGGGAAATTGCAAATGTTGTAGCTCTCTAGTTCACAGTTTTTCCAGTGTTTTTTTTTGGGGGGAACCAGGGATGGAACTCAGGACCTTGGGCTTGCCAGGCAGGTTTGGTGCCACTGAGCTACAGCCCACTCCCTCTAGAGTGACTTTGACAAATATCTTCACAACACAAAATGGAAATAAATTTCCTCTACTGTTTCATTTTATCAAATTTAGATGCTGAAAAATTAAGGCTTTCTCAATTTCATTCCATCCTAGAATACACAGGTCCAACTAAAATGAAGAAAATCATCAGACAATCTCTGTCATAAGATAGCCAAGTGTACTGCAAACTTTCAGAATTAAATCTTATGCATTAGTGAGATAACTGTAGTTTGTTATGTCTTCCTTGGTGTTTTATAAGGATACTGTCAAATTTGTTTTTAATAACTGTAATTCATCAAAATAAATTCAAAAGCTAACGATTTTGGCATTCCATTTGTTGAATCCTTTGATTACAGATATACAATGGATTTGGAACAAAATGCAACCAAATTCCGCAAGTTGTCTATTTTTTAAAAAGTGGTAGGTCTGTTTTGAGAAGCTCTTAAGAGATTTGCACTTTAAGACCCAACTGATGACGGCAAGCAAAGAGAGAAAGTGCAACTGAAAGAATTTCAGTCGACAGAATGTTGCAGCCTGTGTGGAGATAATTATGAATCACATGGGTACCATGTTAAATTCCAGGTATGTTTCTGTACCATGGATTTTAGAAAGAATATTAATTTTTATTATATCGTGGTATGCTGAATTAATGAATAAACAGGCATGTGCACTGTTGAGCTAAACTTACAACAGCATTCACAGATGTTTTATTTTTTACAGGGACAAAAATTTCCTAAATTTCTAAGAATTCAGAGGGCAAAATGCTAACCACTACTGTAATTGACTTAATTTTCTTTCTGAAGCATTTGATAAATTTGATACAAAACTGGCAGCATTTAACTGTTCGCTAGCACAGGTCTTCTGATGGAGCCAATATAACAACAGCCATAGATTCATTCTGTTTATGTGTATAAGGAAACTTGGAGTTGAATATGAGCAAAACTCATTTAGAAAAAGAGCTATTTAATCCAAATGAAAAGTCATGCTTCATAGAGTGATATTTAAATGTATATTCTTTGGTTTCATGTGATAAACAGTTGGCTTTGGGCCATGCATCCTTAAAATAATTACCAAGTTTTGAAGAGAACACAGTAGTAAATGGAGTTGTTCCCCCACTCCCCAATGGGGATCAGACTAACTCAGGACCTTGTGCTTTTGAGACAGGCATGGCACCACTGAGCTAAATCCCCAGCCCTGTAAATGGAGTTTTGAAGTAGATGCATTTCACTTGGTGAGTGACATCACCACGGCCCTCACAGTAGACAGTAAATGTCAAAAGATGTTTCACTCAAGTCTTGCATTCATTATTAGCTTTTGTGAGAAATGAAAATTTGGCATTTACTACGGCATTAAAAACGTACTTTAAAAGACTAATTGTTGTTGAAAGGGGTTATGACAAATGAAAGTGTTAGTAAACAAAAAAATACTACCCCACATAATATATACATTAAATGCTCCCATACAAGTGAAAAGGGCTTTGCAGCAAGGTCAGGCAAACCCTCTCCACAGCAAGACTCTTGTCCCCTGTGCCCTCCACAGTTTCCATGCACACCTCATCTGCTGCTTTCTACACTTCCTCTCAGGCCCCAGCCTGGCAGCCTGGCAGCTTCATGAATCTTGAGGGTGCATGCAAATGACACACTCTGCTACAACAGCAGGGGCCAAGCAGGCAGGGCAGGACAGGACAGGCGTGAGAGAAAGGCACGCCTGTGAGAAAGAAAATGCAACCACCATGGGGGCATTTGTGGACACACTGCGAAAAAACATGTCCTACTCCTGGAAGGGTGTCCATAAATGACACCCAAGGGCTGGGCGTTTGGCTCAGTGGTTCTACTGCCTGCCTTGCAAGTGCAAGGTCCTGAGTTCAACCCCTGGTACCAAAAAAAAAAAAAGACACCTGAGAGTGAAGCACAGTGGTTGCCAGTAACCTTGTCATCACCAAAGCAATGCCGGACACAGGCTGTTGAGTGTCTAACTGGGAGCAGTGGAAACATTTTCTTTTATTTAGTTATGCTTTTAGCATTTAATTAAATCTTAATGTGTTTCTCTTGTTCAGATCTGTATGTTATAGCTTCCATCCTGTACTAAGAATATAAATATATTTGCGTAACCAGTGACTGTTATTTCCTAAGATACTGCAGCTTGTCAGATGATACTCATTTGGTTCCAAATTTTCATGATGATTAAAACTCAGAAATAAATACATACAATTTCTGCATGTTAAATGATCATCTATTTTTACACTAGTGGAGGCTTATAAAGCAAAGCGAACATACTAAAAAAGTGGAAAAAGCCATTAAAGCACAATAAAGAATATGATGATGTTATAGGAGCATAAGTTCTGATGAGGGTATTACTGAATTTCCAGACATGTCCACATTTAATAGGGATCTTAAGGTCATGATATCTCGTAGGCATTTTACTTCATGTGTTACATAATAAATTCCCATCTATGCCTTACGAAATAGGTACTATCTTTATCTTATAAATTAAAGAAAAAAAAAAGAGAGAGACTCGGTTTTTAGCTGAAAGCCACACAACAAAGAAATAAAGGTAAAGCCAGAATTTACAATTGGTCTGTTGGACTCTAACGTCCATGTAAGTGCTTAGTTGCAGTGGTAAAAAGGCATGAAATACCGAAATTGAGAATGTTGAAATGGATTCACAGACTTCAGCATCCTAAACTGTATTGTCATCAGAGCTGTTACAGGTCAAACCGAATCAACAAAGGAAATGAGTAACCGGCTAGAATGTCAGCTGTGCAGTGAAGGGCCAAACACTGTTCTTAAAAATAAGTCCAATTTCTACCTTTAAAAGGACTGCTTGGCTGGGGATGGAGCCCAGTGGTACAGCACTTGCCTAGCATGCATAATGTTCTGAGTTCAATGTGTAAAACTCCAATCAGTCAATCAATCAATCAGTAATTAAGTAAATTAAAGAACAAACTAGCCATCTTTATTTTGAACGCACTTCAGACGGGCCTGCTCCTCCTGCTCCACGGATGCAGCCCTTGGCTTGTGGAATCACCAGACTTCAGTTTACCCACCAGCTGGCAGCAGGCTGGACAACTCTTCTCCCTGGATCCTCTCTCGATCACCAGCTGTTCCTCTACTTGATGCTCACCTTTCAGGACTCTTAAGCATCTGAAGGTGCTCTGGGACTCAGTCGTTCCCCTGTTTATACTCTTTCCCTAGGCGAGCCAGGAATTTCAAGGTTACCTCTGTAGTTGATGCCCACCCTCACCCCTGAACTCCAGATCTGCCCCTGACTAGGTATCTTCTCCACTTGGTGTCTAACAGTCATGTGAAACTGAACAAGTTTAAACTTTTAACTTCTCCCTTCAATCTTTTCTGTATCAATAAGTGATAACTCCATCCTCTAGCTCTTGAGCTAGGAAGCTTAGTTGCTCTTTTGTTCACACTCCACATCCAATCCAACAACCTACCCTCATGGCTTTACTTTCAAAGCTATGTTTCTAACCTTCTTATCGACAACTCCATGTGTTCCATTTTGGCGACACCACCCTCTCTTCTTCCCTGGATTAGTTCACTCGTCTGTGGTTGTCCTCCCCTCACTACAGAACACTCTGACTGTGGCAGATCCTTTCGAGAAAGAGGATTTATTTGGTTATGTGGTGTCACAGAGAAGCCCTTTGGTTAAAAAAACAATGGAGTACTTTTTGCTTCTATGTAAAGTGAAATTGTGGGAAATGCCCTCAAAATGAAAACTGATAAAAGTGAAGCTGGCTGGGTGACTGAGGTCCCACGGGGAATTTAGCACTTCCTCCCTCAGGTCGCCAAGGTGCTGTTGGGCACGGGGAGGGTTCCGAAACCCACTGCTCAGGAAGAATTTATGAAGCAATCCAGTCTCCTTCTCAGAGAAACAGCATTCTTAAAGAATCAGGATTCATGAACGCTTGATTTCCGTCTAATCATCCTTCAGTTTGCTATAGAATCTTGCGTTGCATGCACAAAATCCTATTAAAAACTTTGTTGGTTAAAAATGTAGTCAGTGGAGTTGGGGATTTAGCTCAGTGGTTTGCCACCTGCCTCGCAAGTGCAAGGATCCAAGTTTGATCCCCAGTACCAGAAACATAAAACAAAAAAACAAAAAATGTAGTCAGTGGCTGCTAACAACTACGGGATCTCCATCAGTCCCATAAATTTTTCTTTGGCTGCTTTATTATGCTTTAATATAAAAGAGATCCTAATATTTTCTTCTGTTGATGCACCTCTTTACTATATTTTTCTATAATAAAAGATATAAACAGTATTTTGTTTACAGGTTTGAAACCTAGTTACTGCCAAGAAAATAAAATTTCCTTAGCTGGAAATGAAATGTGCTAATATTTTTAAAGGAGAGAAGTGTATTATGGAAACAGCAGATGTGTTAGTTACTTTACTCTCATTGCTGAGACAAAATACCTGACATTCAAAGTTAAAAGGGAAAGGTTTATGTGTAGCTCACAGTTTGTAGAGGCTTCTACATAAGTGGCTGGCTCTGGGGCAGAGTGGCAGATGGCAGAGGAACAACAGTTCATGGCAGCGGAAGACAGCAAAAGCAAGCAAGCAAAGGACAACCGCAGCCCTTTCTGTCCCTTATATCTTATCCAGACTACTCAGGGCAGGTAGCATGCACACCCTTAATCCTAGCACCCTTGAGCCTAGCCCCACCATGAATCAATCATACACTGTAGATCCAGTCACCTCAGATAAAGCCCATCTATGACTACATGAGGCTTTGTGGGGGACATCTAGACCCAAACCGTAACAGCAGAGGAACAAGAATGCCGGGATTCTCTAAACTAGTCTAAAAATTACGGCTGCTAAGGAAATGTTATTTGAACTTGGTTTTAGAGACATGATTCTGAGTCATGTCTGCCACTGCTGATTCCCAGTCAGTACACAGGGGTCAATGGTTTCCCTCTACTTCACAGGTGACCAGGGTCCCTGCTTGCCCCAGACCTTCCCAGCTTCTGAAAGAACTGCTTTAGAAACTGGGGCCGATGGTTACTTCACTCCTGTGTGTGTCAGGGACACTGCCCAATGTGAGGCAAGAAGATGTTAGGGGAATTCAGAACATTTCAGATAGATCAGCTGAAATAAATTTGAATAATTTTTATTATGCCACTCTCTTTATTTTATGCTTATATTAATGTGATGCCTGTTCAAGAAGCGAGAAATGATTCAGACACAAAAAACACTGCTTAAAATGGCATGCTTTTACTTAAACACTAATGGAAAAACTATATAAATGTTGCCTCATAATCAGGAACCTTTTGAAAAATAAAGTTATAATATTCGAAGTATTAGTCCCACAGATACATTACAGGGCATAAGCAATTAAACCTTCATATATAGAAAGTGGTTCTTGATTTTAGTTCTTACCTATGACAGAGACTTTAAGTAATTCAATCTTATCATTAAGGCCTGCAGCTTTCAGATTGTCCCACGCACCAAGCAACTGTGAGTCGCTGACATCAGCACCTACATAATACCCATCCTATGGAGAGAGAAATTTGTATTTTAAGTAGAAATAAAATTATTAGATATCTCAGTAATTAGGAAAATCTACCTGTATTTTTTCAAATAGTGAACATTAACAGATTGTTAGCAAAATTAAAAGCATTGCACCGTGACTTTAAACTTTTAAGATCTGTTAATATGTTACAATTAAAAATTCCTAAAGAATTTGGATTAGTATAGTCTAGGCTATGACCAATTACTGGACTCTTGTCACATTTTCCTAAAATTTTCATATAGAAAAAAAAACAAACCAGTTTAATCTATTTCAACTATGGTGAATAGTAACTCAAAACATTAAAAGTAATAATCCCATCACTGGTAAATTATTCATTGGTATATTACTATTGGTAGATTAAAGTAAACATATAGTTTACACCAAATTTTACCACTTACTGGCCATTCTTTAGCAGCTTCCAAAAGTATTGTTCCAAGTCCACACATTGGATCTAAAACAAATGTACCAACCTATAAATAGGAAACATGAATTTTTATTGTTAGGTCTCCCATAAAAGAAACTTTAACAATACTTCAAGGTTCCTTCAAGATCTTAACTTCAAGAAATGTAATAATACTTTTTATACTTCAATAGTAATTTTAAGTAAAGTTCAATGTTTGCCATGTTTGCAGAATATGAAAAAAATCAGTGTGGCCAAAACACAGTGGAGGTGACACTGGAGAGCAAGCCAAAGGGATGCCATCCAGATAGGCCGAGAGACATGAATCTGACAGGTCAAAAACAACATGTCACTCATCCTGCGTGCCCACAGAAGGCACTTGGGTTCTCTGCTCCTCATCCAGGAACCCAGGCTCACGAACCAGGTGCCATTCAGAGGAGCCGTCAACATGGCTGAGGGAAAGCATGACAGGTCATCCAGTGCTCTGAACGGTGCCACTGGAAGTGTCAGAGTATTCACAGGGAGGCTACTGAGGGAGTCCAAGCAGGAGACGATGGTGGCTTGAATGAAGAGAGGTACTGGGAGAAGTAATTGGATTCTGGACATATTTTTAAAAGGTGGCTCTAAGAGGAAGAATTGGATGTGAGATATTAAAGACAGATAATTGGCCAGAGTGACTCAGGTTTTCTATCTGAGCAATGAGAAGAATTGCCTGTTACTGAGAAGGGAGGAAACATTTTGGAAAGAATATGAATATAATTCTGGACATGTTAATTTCGAGATACTTCTCAGATTTCCAAGTACACATCCAGTAAGTCAGTAGACATATGAATCTATAGTTCAAGGGTTCAAGGTACAGATATGAAGTTTGGAGAAACTGGTGTGAGTTAGTTTGTAAATGGTACTTGAAGTGTCAGAACTAGATGAGATCACTTAGGAAGCAAGGGATGTCAAAAGAGGGAAGCCTATTGACTGAGCTCTGGTGATTTCCTAAATACAGATGTTTGGAAGATGAAGATCCAGATATTCACACCAAGAAGCAGCACATAAGATGCAGAAGGAAAATCTAGTGTGCTCGTTCTGAAAA